GATGGCCTCCAACCTGATGGCGATGGCCTCCAATCTGATGGCGATGGCCTCCAACCTGATGGCGATGGCCTCCAACCTGATGGCCTCCAACCTGATGGCGATTGTCCCGAACCTGACGGCCTCCAACCTGATGGCCTCCAACCTGATGGCGGTGGCCTCCAACCTGATGGCCTCCATGGCGATGGCCTCCAACCTGATGGCCTCCAACCTGATGGCGGTGGCCTCCAACCTGATGGCCTCCAACTTGATGGCCTCCAACCTGATGGCCTCCAACCAACCTGATGGCGATGGCCTCCAACCTGATGGCCTCCAACCTGATGGCGATGGCCTCCAACCTGATGGCCTCCAACCTAAGAGTGCTTCTGGGGACCCGAGAGCAAAGACCTTCCTAAGGTGGAGAGGGCAGCCTCATCTACGACCCGACGGCAAAGTCCGTGGAGTCGGCCAGGGAGTCGGCGAACGACCCGGACGAATGAACCGGGACGAATGACATTGAATGACGGGATTTCAATGAGACATTGTAAGCACCATATTTCTGTTCATTTACACATTTTGTTACAGCCACTTCACTCTTGTTGTGTGGCCATTGTCAACCACAAATTGATTCAATGATGCGACGCGATTCAACGAAGGGGCTTTGATGATGACTCTTTTTCGATGCCAGATTGCGCTGCCACTTTCGCCCCGGAGCTGCGAAAGGCGGGACAAACCGGTATTTCCGACGTATAACGGAAGGACTGGGACGCTGTGACATGGTGTGAGCTGTGTGGCTTTGACGTGAGGTCTGTCGATGTCATGAAAGAGGAACGAGCCTTCTGGGATGTGTCTCCTCCATCACCCCGGGCTGGTATGGCAGCTGGAGCCAGAGACCGAAGACCTCAATTTGCCATACAGTCTAATTCGATGGACAAGCTGGATACGAAAAACATCAAGGAATTGGCTAGAGAGACATCCAAGATCCTTTTTTTTCCGAGAATGAAAGTGACATCCAAGACCACTGTGCTTTACACTGCAGGCCTTGTCTCAGGCTGCGTGCTGCGTAGATCACAGGATCCATCACGAGCTAAGGTGGAGGTTGCTCGACGCCACCGGGAGCGGATCAGAGCACGGTCTCATGACTCAGGCCAGTTGGGTTAGGGTCTTTTTTGTTCGAAGAAAGCAAGTATTGGTTGCCTTCTTCTTTCTGTGGAGGGGTCGTGTGGGCGTACTTTTTTGCAGGAGGCATGAGCAACACCGGTCGGTGTGAGACATCTTCGTAGATTAGGATGCAAAGTCTTCCTTTGTGTGTAAAAGAGTTGGCGTGTTCAAGACCTAGGCAAGCCTAGCAGCATCAGGTAATTAACTTCGTGACGTGCTTCGGATCATTTCTGGAAGGTGTTGTGTTTGTGCATTTCTGAAAGCTCCAGGTCGCACTAGAGAATTAACTCCTTCAGAGCGGAAGCTCGCAGTACCCTCAGAGATATTTTTCCAACAGTTTCAGAGAGATCTTTGCTTGGGTGCAAAATGACCCTACGAGTTCACAGGCAGAGGATGGTAGTGTGTATTCTGCCTTCCCGGCCGTTCTCCAAAAGAGTCTCCGAGTTGAAGGCCATCGCTATTAGGTTGGAGTTGCCACTCTGCCCGAGGCCAATCTTGCTTCCGGGCAGCTGCGAATTGCGACAGGGGCATCTAGCGAGCCTCATGATGATGGTGGGGTGGTGGAAAATCAATTGCTCGCATCTGCATGTGGCTCCTTCTCAACATGAAAAAATACAGTAACTGCCCAAGGGTTGGCATCAAGGATGTTTGGGTCTCCTCGTTTTTTTGTGGGACACACCTATGTGTGATATGCAGCTTCTCCAGGCCGGCGGTCATCACAAGCAATAGGAACCCGCCGAAATATGGCTGGAAGCTCGAGGGGGTCGTCCGGCCAATTGAAATTTGCGGGTCATTGACTTCACGTGCAGACTAGTAGCGTCCTTGCTCCTAGTAGTAAGGCCAGGAGCCCCTAGTAGCTTCTTGTTGCTAGTAGCGATGCCCTTTGTTACTAGCAGCAAACCTTGCTCCCAGTGATTGAGAGATGCCACGAAAATCTCTGGCTGTCCGTCTGAGGTCGTGGATTCGCCAAGGTCAGTACGACATGGGACATTCGGAGAAGATTCTCCAGCAGCTCGGTGTAGAGCTCAGGTCATAAAAGTTTTGTGGCAAACCAGGGAATCAACATGTTTGGATTGACATTGGAATGATTCAAGACGTGCCTACATCAGAGGACTTGATCAGGTGTGTTTGAGGGAGAAGCACATCCAAGAATTTGCCTCGAGGTCTGCCTTGGCCAGGGCTGCGCCAAACTCAGCGCGACAGCGCAGGATGAAGGATGCCTGTTTGGGTCACTGAAAGAACACGAAACTTGCATCAATCGGCAATCTTTGCTCAATTTGTTTTGTTCTTACTGTTTTCTTATGTTTACTGAGAAGCGACGTCCATTTGATGTTAGTTAAGATGTGAGGGTGTCACGTGGTGGAAACGGCTCGGATCTATTCAGAAATATGTGAGTCGCCAGGAGATGCTGACATCGGTGGGTTTCTTTTGATTTGCCGCAGTGGCTGTTTGCCATGCGAAGAATTGATTGTGCTGAAAAACAACGTGGTGAGCTGCTTTCATGAGCAGAAACCAATGCTCATGGCCGTGAGAATGATCTTGGCTATGCTACTAGGAACAAGTGCATCGCTACTAGTAACAAGTGCCTTACTAGTAGTAACAATGTTTGCTATTAGAAACAAGTGCCTTACTAGTAGCAACAAGAAGCTTGACAAAGCTGTTCTTTACCGCTTTCGTTGCCCTCAACATTGCTGCCGCTGTGTATGAGGGAGAGCAGCTAGGCATCCTGGGACGTGGACTGTGGTCTTTCAGGTGGATTTGCTGCATTTCTCTTGGAGTCTCACTGAAACTATTTTAGATTTATATGTACTGTATATTTAATTTGACGTTTTCCATCTAGTGCTTTAGGCTTCAGAGCTTCTGGCTTGGCCCCGCCCGCCCAAGATTGAGTCAGTTCTCACCAACCTTCCTTTGTGGCTCAAGAACCGCAGCTTGACGATGTGACACTAGCTGCGGAATTGCACATGGCGGAGGCTGAAGAGGAGGCTTGGAACTTCAGAGTCGTTGTGGGGTTGTTGTGCAATTTCGATACATTCTCACACTAGACAAACTATTGAATCTATTGATTCAGAGTTCTGATGCAGCGAAAAAACAGCTTTTAGTGCTCGTTGCTCGCAATGTCGGACACAAGCTGAAGGTTGCACCAGCTGCCGAGGCAGCAGAGGCCAGCCTGAGAAGAGACTTTGTCGAAAGACTTTGTAGCTTGACTTGCCAGGTGCCGAGCAGGAGCCTTAGAGACTTCATATTGTTCCGAGCGTTGCGGTTTTTGCCAGATGTATCCAGATGTTGAATTCTTAGTTCATGATAGTCATCTTTCTTTCTCGCAAATGTATTCCTCCACCTCTCAATGTAGGCAAGCATCAAAACAATACTGGCAAGAAAAATCCAGAGGGATAGCTTGGTTGGATTGTAAATTATCCCCACCTGCATTGCCCAGATCTGCAAAGGCAGGGTCCCAAAATACAACCAACGGTTCTTGCTTGCAATGTTGGGTCTAAACAATGAATGACCAGATGTCAAGCAGTGAGCACTGTGTGGATATATCGTAAGTAAATCTGGCATGACCTCAAAAGTCGAAGTTTTTAAGAGAAAGGGTATATAATTGCATTCTTGGACGTCGCAACCACTATCCATGAATTTTTGATCCAAGAAGGTGCTTTCCAAGTACATTGGATATTAGTGTTCGTGCTGCACTCTTTTAGTAAATTAGGCGCAGACCAAGCTGCTCCAGCGGATGGAGAGGCCGCAGGTGCGGAAGGATCCCGAGCGATTGCAGCTAGAACCTTCCGTCAAAGGGCAGCATTGACTTGTTTGAGTCTTTAGTCTTCAGTTCCTCTCTTTGAAGACAAACAATCAATGTACTGAACGGAAGCGAGATGCAGGGAGTCGTGGCAATCCCGTTGGAGCATGTTCTGTGCCACAGGTACACCGGAGGCACCGCAGGAGGGTCCACCGGATGCGATGCCGGATGCGACTGAGCCTGTGGATGCCGCGGCTGCAGCGCCGGCATCCGAGGCTCCAGCTGCCGAGGTGTCCTCTCAAATGGAGGCACGGCTATTGGGCTGCCTTGTGGGATGGCGACGGCTAGTAGCTAGGCACCAATGATTAAGTGGTGGTTCTACACTTGCTTTTGTGTTCGTTTTGATTGGCAAATAAATTACAGTATCATGTTTATGACACTTCCAAGATTGGCCTTCGCAGGGTGCCGCTGAAGCTTCCGCCTCCATTTCCACAGAGGTGCCAGTTCAAGTTTTACAGCAGCAACATGTATTGCCTTTGCTGATAAAGTACAGCAGGAGTGGCTCAAAACTCAATGGGCCTTCTGCACCTCATATCACCATGTGGCACGTAGCGCAGTGTTGTGGTTTTCCATCCTGCGCGATCAACAACTTTCTTTCAACTTCGAAGGAAGTACCATTAGCTGGCATTCTGCAGTCTCTTTTTGACACTGAAGATTCATTGCGTTCAGCTTCATTTGGAACAAAGATAAACCTGATGACATGTGCTCCATGGATATCTATGGCATGTCAGATTTTTTCGAGCAAATTGCTTGTGAGGCGCAGAGTCACCCGACGGGGGAGGCAAGCATCGACTTGGTGATTCTGCCTGAGGCGAGGGTCTTGAAATAGCAAAGAGCGAAAGCAGCAGCTCTCTCTCTCTCTCTACTAGTAACAAAGGGCATCGCTACTAGGAGCAAGAAGCTACTAGTCTAGTAGTTTCTGGCCTTACTACTAGTAACAAGAGAACGCTACTAGTAACAAAGGGCATTACTACTAGTATCATTCTTTGGTCTATCTTATTTTTTTTTGGACCTTCAGAGACATGTCTTTGAACACAAATTCTCGTCGTTCTAGGCAAACTAATGGCTTGTATTATGCAAGCTCTTGGCACAGGGCTATGGCCAGACCAAGCAGATCCATGTTGACCGCATGGTTGGGCAGATTCGGGCAGAGCTAGAGCATGAGTGGCCGGGCTGCACTATCTAAGCGCGTCTTTGCGGCTGTGCTATCCAGGGGAAACGGGACAAGGCTGAAGCGTTCGTTATGCAAGGAAGAACAGCCTGGAAGGAATCGCTTAGCGAGCTGAGGCTCAGCATTCCCGACAAGTCCTTGTTCTTGATGAACCTGTCAGGTGCTGCAGAGGCCGCTCAACAAAGAGCATGTTCTCAGTTTGTAAACTCACAAGAACCGCCAAAGGGCCAACAAAAACAGTTTACACAGAGACAGACACGGTTGAACATATTTGTTTAGATATTTATATACTTAATAAATTTACTGTATTGTGTTTGTTTATGGCCCTTCAACCTTCGCGCATGGCCAGTTCAAGCAAGTGCTTCCCGACGAGAAATCACTCAGAGATTTGGGCTTGAAGCCCGGAGACCGTGTGTGGCTCTCAGTATATATGCTCAATATCACTTCTGCACTTCTTCAGCTGTTGGTCTAGCCAGTAGCCTCTTATGCTCAATATAGAGGAATCCAAAAGTGGCAATGAAAAATACTGTAATCAAACTGAATGGTACACTATTTTTTTGCCGTTATTGCTGGTATGATGGGTGTTACATGATCAAAGCTGATCTAGCTATTGAAAACCTTTCTTGGACAGTTGCTCCAACCAAATTTTGGGTATATTTCTCGCTGGAGGCGGGGATCGAGCTTAGAATCAATTACTATCAAGAGCAAGTGGCGGAGGCGCGAGCCACCTTGCGCAATGATTTCTGACCAAAACACCGAAGACTGAACGAATAACTTGCCAGCTTCACTGTGAGGAATACGTCATGCCAGACTGCCTCGAGCTGAAGGTCATGAATGATCGCGGGGAGGCCATTGCTATCCATTGCCCCACCTTTGCAGAGACTATCGAGTTCAAGAGTCATTTTTCCTTCAGGAACGGATTATTTCAGTCCACGTGCAGCGGCCTGTGATGGACAAGCTGCAACCCTAGCTTGCTGAAGAGAGAGGCTTTTAGCCAATCAAAATTTGTGGTGCAGTTGCTTGTAGTTGTGGGCAGTGAAGTCTCAAACCTGAGCAACATCATTTCTGCTTCGAAGGAAATGACATTGGTCACCAAACGCTGTGTTTCCAATGAAGACAAGCGGAGGCCATATTTTGGCGGCTACCGAAACAAGATGACGGGTGCTACGCGAGCTCCTCAACCGTCTTGCTCTCTCTCTCTCTCTATATATATACACGCATTTTTGCAAGTAACACATGTGCCTGCTGATGGCATAAGGTATCATCATGCCGTGACCCAGACAGCACCGATCCAAAAGAAAGACGTGCACATCATACGCTTCCATCGCGAGGCTGTCTGGGTAAGCCCAAAGTGTCGAAACTGTAGGCAGGGGTCCTTACGGTTCTTACAGGTTCTAAGCGTTTTATCGTCTTCAAGTGGACTCCCTGCTCTACGCTTTGTGGAGGGAACGTGGTAGTGCTGTTTGAAGTGCTGCGCGGGCAATGTGCGCTCCTGCCCCAATGCCCCCTTGCATGTCAACTATTAGACTATGTTCCAAGTCTGCAACCTGTCTACGTACTGCTGCTGCTGCTACAACAATAACAGCAACAACACCACCAACAACTCCCACTATATACTACTCTTACTCCTCCTACTGCTTCTACTGGACCTCCTACCGCTCCTCCTGCTCCAAGTAACTACTCCAACTACTGCTGCCAGTACTATTACTACTACTACCACCACCACGACTACTACTACTACTACTACTACTACTACTACGACTACGACTACCACTACCACTACCACTACGACTACCACTACCACTACCACTACCACCACTACCACCACTACCACCACTACCACCACTGCTACCACTGCTACCACTGCTACAACTGTTACCACTGCTACCGCTACCGCTACTGCTACCGCTACCGCTACTGCTACTGCTTCTCCAACCACTACTACAGCCTTTACCACAACTACGACTATTACTATGACTGTTGCTGGTACGAGCTGCTGCTGCAGCTGCAAGAACTATTACGATGGCGGCGTATTTCAAGGATGCCTTTAAAAGAACACCTTGTGCCTTCATCTCAGGTCCTAGCCTTCAGGTCTTGCCCTAAACAGAACCTTCCTGGTGCTATTGTGTGGGGGAGCGGCGAAGGGGGTGACGATCATGCAAAGGCATGCAAATGCCAAAATCATCAACCAGTTCTACTGGAGAGGGAATGGCATTGAACTAATGACAACATTTTCTGTTTTTCCTTTTGTACTAATATGTTTTTGAGCACTTGCGCTTGTGGATTGATTGTGGAGGCACAAACCTACGAGTACCGGACCCGCTCCACACAGTGCAAGCGAGAGGCTGGCACACAGATGGAGAAGGCAAGGTGGAACACAGCCGAGACTAGACTGTTTGAAATAGCATTGAAGTGGCTTGAAGGCATCCAAAACGAAACACTGGATCGTGGTTTCACATTTTTTTTAAACATGATATTTATACTTTCAACCTAACTGCCTGACTCTTGACTAGTACATTTCAAACGAGTTGAAAGCACCAACCAACAAGTTTTTTTCCTTTGAACAGTTATTGAATCGAGCGGAGAGTGTTTGGTCTTCCTATTTGGACTTTTCTTACGTTTTTCACTGTCAGGTGGGCTTGTACGTCGACCAACGCGATGACGTGGTCATGAAGCCTCGACGGCCATACTTCAGCAGTGCCGACAAGGCGTTTAAGTTTCTTTTGCAAAGAGTTTCGAAAAGCCACCCTCAAGCTACACATAGACCTACAGATAGACGAAGCAAAAGAGAAGGACTAAACTTAAACACCGGTGAAGAAACCAAGAAGACTGCCAGGCGTGAACGCACTAATTCACAGTTGGTTGGCTTTAACATTTTGATGTCAGCTTCTCTCAACAACTCTCCCACCACACACTTGTTTGGTCATCAGACAAAGACAACTTTCTGAAGCTCTCACGGCAGGCAGCGCTGGTTCTGGAGAAGTGGCCTGTCTCATTGGTCTTTGGGGGTTCTTGATGTTCGGACAAAATCCAGATTCTTGATAGTGTGAGTGTGAACTTTGATTGTGGTGGAGCGGTACCACAGCACAGCTTGCTTGAAGGTGCGTTATGATCCAGTGCCATGCCAGAGGCATGATAGCCAGGAGGCCAGAGCATTGGTAGGAACAGTAGACCTTTCTGGATTCTTTGCTGTCCTTGTTCCTCAGGCGCACTCGACAGCTCCGTCAAGCGCGGCAGGCACGCCGGTACAGAAGCATTCGTTTCACAAACTCAGAAAGAGACACGAGTACAAGCTTTTCATGACATGAGGACGTTTTAACGCTTCCAGGAGCGCGAAGAGTTAGAACGGAGAGAGGCAGAACGCCGGCAACTTGAGGCGTTGGAGAAGGGATCCAGACTTGGACATTGGGATTCCGCAGCTCTCGTTTCAAATGCTTCCTTCAATTCAGCCTCTGTTTTTGTGCTCCATGACGCAAGTACCTGCAGGCGGATCTGAGACACAAACGAGAGGTAGAGAGGAGAATGCATCCTCTCACTCCAGAGGACTGAACTTTCTTTTAATCTAGTAGCGTCTTTGCTCCTAGTAGCGATGCCAGGAGCCCCTAGTAGCATTCTAGTTCCTAGTAGTAAGGCCAGGAGCCCCTAGTAGCGTCCTTGCCCCTAGTAGCGTCTTTGCTCCTAGTAGCGATGCCAGGAGCCCCGAGTAGCATTCATGTTCCTAGTAGTAAGGCCAGGAGCCCCTAGTAGCGTCCTTGCCCCTATTACCGTCTTTGCTCCTAGTAGCGATGCCAGGAGCCCCTAGTAGCATTCATGTTCCTAGTAGTAAGGCCAGGAGCCCCTAGTAGCGTCCTTGCCCCTATTACCGTCTTTGCTCCTAGTAGCGATGCCAGGAGCCCCTAGTAGCATTCATGTTCCTAGTAGTAAGGCCAGGAGCCCCTAGTAGCGTCCTTGCCCCTATTACCGTCTTTGCTCCTAGTAGCGATGCCAGGAGCCCCTAGTAGCATTCATGTTCTAGCAGTAAGGCCAGGAGCCCCTAGTAGCGTCCTTGCCCCTAGTAGCGTCTTTGCTCCTAGTAGCGATGCCAGGAGCCCCTAGTGGCATTCATGTTCCTAGTAGTAAGGCCAGAGGCGTTAGGCTCAAGCCTACACGTGGCACGCCCGTTGCCACCGTGTCTTTCACGGTGGTGCCAATTGAGCCATGGCATTTGACGCTTTGCCGATCTCCACGTCTTGGCGACATTCAAGCTGGTGGAAGGGAGCAGGACGCTTCAACATCGTGCCCTGCCAGGTTCTGCAGCGTACGAGAGACTTCGTCATTTTGACTGCAGTTGATCCAGAAGGCGTCCTGCTGAAGCTCAAGGTCCCACAGCGGTTCCTACAATTCTTTCATTCAGACGCTGCAACAGCGATAGTGGTTTGGAATGAATGTGGGAAGCTAAGGTTTGGCTGTCAGTCTCCTTCAGAGCCATTCCCGGAAGACTTCTTCCTGACCAGGGATATCCCGAAGCTCGGCGGAAAGAAGTGGGATCCAGACTACCGTCCAATCGAAGACTTTTTCGAACCTTGGGCCCAACAGTTCGCATCGTCGGAACAGCAGGCAGGTTATGGCTTGGTCTCTCAATTCGACGAGCTTACAGAACCATGGATGGAAGGCAAAGTTGAGGCCCTTCAGACATCGTGCAACACAGCAAGTGGGGCGGAGGAGCGATCGGTCATTGACACGAACGCTCACTTGACACCCAAGATCCCCCCATGTACGTCTTCGCATGATCCAGAATATCAAGAGCTCGATGAACTATGGGCATACTGCCATGGGAATTTCAGACAGGGACATCAGTCAGATGAGATATCCTATCCAGACCACAGTGGGCCTGAATGGTTTGGTTTTCGTTCTTCTACATTCAGTACATCTGCTGGCAATGTCCATCATTCCATGCCACGTCTCTTCGACGCTGTTCGAAAGGAGGAGCCACCTTTGCATTTTAATTCACGTGTGTCTTCCACATGTATTGCATGTATAAGTGGTCTTTACCACTTATTTGCACTGGGCACCAAGGGCCAAGGTTTGATGTCATATCCCATACAAGCTGACCCACCACCGGTCTTGGTCTCTTCTCAAATTGTCAGTAATGAGACTTCCCAGCATACACCATTAGCTGCTGACGAGGATATGAAGAAAAGCGATTTTGTCAAGGCCTATTGGAACCAAACCGTTGAAGATTGCCAGACAAAGGAAGCCCGGTCCCTTGATATGTTCGACCTTTACCAGTTTTGTCGATCTAATCGGATTCATCAGTCTCGGGACCCTCAATTCCGTTCTAGATTTCACTCGATTCCGCATTTCCAGTCATCTCAGCACTATTCAAACAACCTGCCATCGCGAATACCCAGAACTTGTGATGACTCGTTTGGGGGGATGCCGTGGACTCACTCTAGTCCCAACAGAACTCCGGAGATATCCAGATGCCATCCGCGTCAAGAAAAGGCTATGGTTCAAAGGAATCGAAACATTGAAACGCACAGAGTCAAGAAATCTAGTGAACATTCTTCCTTGGCTTTATTCAACCGTGTACTGACCCAGGTCAGGACTCTTGCCAATGCACAACATGAATTGCAATCCTCACCGGATTTCAAGCATGTTCATGTCTGCAGTGAACAACAAGAAGTGCCACAGGAGGCCACTGCAGCAGACACCGCACCATTGATGTCTTCGCAATCAGCAATATGTTGGTTGCCGAATTCGATTGAGTTAGTTGGCTTTTCAGCTACTCCGCCTGATGATGCACACTATCGTGACAGCAATTCCAACCTTTTGCCCGTTTGTTGCCCTTCGTCATGGACGGACTCTCGGGCCGACTCGATGAACTTGAACAGCAACATGAGTTGTACAGACCATTTGACAGCTGTACGAGATGCCTTCATTCCTCCTCATTTGCTTTTCAAGTCCGAATCCATTTCGTGTGATACAACATACTTCAAAGACCTTACAGCTATTGACACACAACAGGATATGTCCTGGCCACCCAAGCGTATAGTTCCACTGAGACGAGATGACCACCTCAAGCTATGTCAACAGCATCATACCACCTCTAGTGGGGCTGTACCCGTACACAACAACATTCCATCAGGGAGCATTGCAGACAATCGGTGGTCGCAGTTCAGTGCAACGTTGGAACCGAGAGTTGTTCGTCTGGCACAGGAGGCCATTATTGGCCAACAAGCATGCTGTGTTTCATGGCAGAGACCTAGACATCAGATTGGCAGTCCTCATCCAGTTCCACTACGTTTAACCACATGTATTGGGGCTGTACCCGCTTACGACAACATCTCCTGGCAAGGAGCTTCAGACCCAGATCAACTGATGTCAGTCATACAGTATTCAGATGATCCTCAGGGAGCAACCTCTGTTTTTAACATCAGCTCAAAGTCCCTCCTGGTGGCAGATTACAACTCAGATGGGTACTACAATGACAGGTGGCTAGGCAACGACCCTGAGTCTGGTGCTACACCTTGTTCTGCTCCCGTGGGGCGCCACGCCTCGTTCCACGTTCAGATCGCCAAAGAGGCATGTTTGCAGCATTGTGTACGACCTGACGCTGACCTCCATGATCTCTTCCGCACAACTTTCTCAGGGCAAGACCATTCTCTACACCGTTTCAAGCCAGCTCAGCTTGATGATGTCGATGCTTTCGCAGAGACTTCGCACAGTCACCTACTGGAGTCAGCTGTCAGTCGGCCGTGCACTTCACCTTCCGCCCGGAAATGGCACCACAGGTCAAACAAGTTGACGACATTTACAGATGTTGCACTTTCTCAATTTTTGACAGATTCTTCAACAAGCCCATCTGCCTTTCTCTGGCCATTTGACTCGTACCAAGTTCAGATCAACAGTGAGTCATGTCTCGTGAACATCACGGATGAAGTATCAGACCTTGAGCATGGTGCCACATTTTGCTCTGCTCCCTTGGAGCGTCATGACTCGCTTCATATTCAGATCACCAAAGAGTCATGTTTGCAGCCGTGTGTACGACCTGATGCTGTTCTACATGGTCTCTTCAGCACAACTCTTTCAGGACAAGGTCATCCTCTACACCGTTTTACGACATCCAGTGGGGCTGTACCCAATGACAACTATAGGTTTTCAGACAGTCTCAACGACTCCGACGATGGTATTCACATCTTGTTTGATCTTTGTCATACCATGACAACTTATCGATATTCTTCAATTGGTCACACAGACAAGCCAATTCAGCCATATGATGTAGATGCTTTCGAAGAGACTTCGCACAGCCATCTACTAGAGTCAGCTGTCATTCGGCCGTGTACTTCACCTTCTACCAGGAACTGGCAACACAGGTCAAACGAGTTGACAACATTTACAGATGCTGTACTTTCTCAAACTTTGACAGATTCTTCAACAAGCCCATCTGCCCTTTTCAGGCCTTTTGACTCGTACCAAGTTCAGATCAACATTGAGTCATGTCTCGTTGACATTACGGATGAACCATCAGTCAACAATGCAGCAGGGAGTTTTTACAGTTCCGTGCCGTTGAGCACACAACTACATTCTTCTGCAGGACGACCAGTTTTACCTGGGCTTGAGAATCCGACCTTTCTAGAAAATCGCCCGTGTCCACAACAAGGTGCTACATGGAGTGGGGCTGTACCCAGTGACAACCGTTTGTTCTCTGGTGTTTACAATATTTGCAACGATGAGATTCTTCCGATTTTTGATCTTCACACTCACACCGTCGCTCAAGCAAGTCTACTGCGATCTCCTGAGTTGATGACGACTTCCTCTAACAACCAAGAAGATCGTATTGCAGCTGGGTGGACACCGCTACGTGACCATCGACCATTACACTTTACCACATCTAGTGGGGCTGTACCCGGTGACAATCATTTCTACCTCTCTGACAAGAATTGCAGTAATGGGAACTTAGTTTTGCCGTTCGACCCATGTCAGACAATTCAGCTGGAATCAGACTCTCGGGTCGGTTGTGTTGGTGCTCTGGTCACACGTAATCGTCTTGACAATCTACCGATACTGATAGTTAACCTCCCAAGTTATGGTTCTTCAAACGCAGTGGTTGATGCCAGCTTGCAGGAAGTTTATATCCGCCTACTCCGTAGGAGTTTCGAGCAGCAACTTCCGCAGGTCCTATATCGGAACAACGATATTGCACAACCAGTCCCTTTTTTGTCATCTGCCGATATGCTACAGAGGATTTCAAATGGACAAACTTTCAGATCTTTTAATGGATGGAGCCGAGCCATCTATCGTGGGGGACACCCGGCCTGGGGTAGGTGCCAAATTGTCCATATGGACCCGAACCCACCGTTCAATGAACGATGTGCCGCTGCGATGCAGGACGAGGGCTGGTTAGCCTCAGACGAGGCCTTGTGGTTCCTCCGTAAGCTCAGAACCTGGAGATCAGACATTGTCATCGGCCCAATAGTCCAATGGAGCCCAAGCAGAGACCTTCAGCATTTAATCGCAGCAGAAGGTCAATTGCAATATACCAACAATTGCCTGAACCTCCAAATTTTTTTGGTCGACGCACACTGGTGCGCTGTTGAGATCGACAGACGCACCAATCCTGTTCATGTCGTGCTTGTGCAGTGGCCTCCAGAACTTCGTACTACTGTGATTCTAGAGGTTTCTCGCATCATGCAGATTCCCTCGCATCGCATGTTGGTCACGACCAATAACGACAATGAAGTTTTAACCATGTGCGGATGGACCATGTTGTTGAGATGGTATAAAAATTTTGCCATGGAAACACGCTTGCAACCACTCATACACGTGAATCCACAGCATCGAGAACAGTTCGATCGTGTCATCCATTGTTCCCAGCGCTCTTGGAATAAAACTAACGCTACAGAAGAGCTGAGCCATTTTGCCACTGAGTGTCGCCAAGCTTTCATGGCAGAATATGCTAGAGATCAAGCTGACACACGCCTCCCGCCGGAGGCTTCCACTACAATGTTTGTTGGTCCTACACCTGAATACGTTCAGGAAGTATGTCAGATTCCACGACTTCCAACACACCGTGAGAGGGAGATCAACTGGCTTCGTACCATGCTAATTCAACCAGCATGGATGACTAATTTCGAAGTAGACATCGTCCTTCAGTTTGTCCGCCTTCAGTTGATTGATCGATGCCTGCCAGCTCCGCTACATTTCGATTCCAAGACAGAAACTTTGGAACCTTTCCTGAATGACTTGCCGAGCATAGCAGGGTATAACAAAGTGCTTTTCCTTGTCACGTTCCACAACCACTGGTTGTCTATTTCGGGCCTCAAACATGAAAATCGATGGATGCTCACTGCCGCAGTTCCTGACCCTCTTAGTGTACAACTCACCCCGCTATTCGCAGCATTAGCGGCCATTCTTGAAGCATCTCCGGACCGGGTGCACATTCAAGCCATCGAAACACACTCCCCGCTTCATATGTGTGGCTGGACTTTACTGCATTCCTTATACAGTCAGGTGTCAGCACCTATCCTCATTGACACAACACAGCTGCTGCAGCGCATGGCTGTGATGCCTAATTCACGTATCAAGACTTTGCTCTTTGAAGAAGCACTCAGTACATGGTCTAAACAAACGCCAAATGCTGATCTCATTCATTTTGCCACACAGATTCGTGTATTTAGCTTGGCACACCTGGACCAGTGGACGTCTCATCATGTCTTGCATTTTGGCGGCATGTTTCCTACCCAGGGTCCACCCACGGCTCAAGCCTCCTGGACAGTCATTTCCTCTGCAGCTAAGGCGAAGATCCTGTCCAAAATCAGATCTCATGTGCCTCGGCCATTCGTCTGTCCATGTGTCCAGAAGCTGACAGCCTATATTGAAATCGATCGCAGAGTTCCCTCCAATACCAATACAGCTATTTTTGTAGCTTACATCAAGCCATCGCCACTCCAGTGGGCATCTCATTTTTGTCAAGAGCGAGTCATCCACGATTCCTGTGTACATG